ATATGTTATAGTCGATAGTCGATTTAAATGAAATATTAATCCATTACTATTTGTCGAAGATTTGAAAAACAAAATTGAAAACTGGAAGGCTATATTTCTTTTTCACTTATTTTTCTGATTGTTCCTTTTGGATCTATATGATATGGTCGTCCGATCCGGATCGTTCCGACTTATATGCTATATGCAATAGGACGACAACTTTTGGGAAAGTTTTATGCAGACACTAGTATGCGTAGAAACGAACGGGCGGACATAGAGTAATAGCCGGATTCCATTGGCGCATTAAAACGGATTTATCCTGATGCGCATTTATTTGCATAGGGAATCCCATTAGGCTAAATGCCTCATTTAAAATAAATGCGATTAAAAACTATTCGCCCCGTACCGAAAACTACCGATATTTCGCGATATTTTGTTAATGCCATGTAGGCATGCTGGTTTCTATATGCAAGGATGGCACAATTTTTGATTTCTTTCAAATGTAAAATCTAGTTTGCATAAAAACGACTGAAAACAAGAGCAAACGCAGCAAATCCTGGGCGCAGCACCACAATTCATTACTGCTGGATCTCAGGAAATAAATCCCAAATATCCGGGAATCCTGGCTCATTTGTAGAAACTGTGGTGCTCTTCTCTGCAAACCCGTGAAAGAACACCATCAGCTCCCCTTCCTTGTCGCCCAAATGGGCAAATGCCTCTGTCGCATTATGGATGTCCTGTAAAGATATCCGTAAGCTCGCTCAAATTCAAAAGTATACAAACCCAGATCAGCTGTTCGTGCCACTCACATGTCGGAGTAACATTAGCATCGCAGTGGCGCAATTTGGGTTCGTCCGATTTTGGTAACCGATACAAGATGCACATTTGTAATCGATCGTTTCTCCAGCTTTTTAAACATAGGATTGTAATGGATATTATAACTTTATATATATATATTCTTGATCAGCATCACTAGTAGAGTTGATCTAGCCATGTCCGTCTGTCCGTCCGTTTCTACGCAAACTAGTCTCTCAATTTTAAAGCATGAAACTTTCCCAAAAGTTGTCTTTCTATTGCAGCTAGTATATGTGTCGGAACGAGCCGGATCGGATGACTATATCATATAGTTCCCATAGGAACAGTAAAAATATAAAAAAATTTTTTTTTTTAATTTAACGTCTCTATTTTTAATTTTTTTTTTTAATTCTTTTTGATTAATTACTAATTTGATAGTTCAAAATAACGCTTTTAATTTTAATAAAATCGGAAAACGATATCATAAAGCTGCCATAGGAACTACCAAATAATTGAGCTGCAAATCATCATAGCTTCTATGTTTTTAAACATATACGCTAGTCAATCATAATATTAATGTTTTACAGAATATGTTATTTTTGCAATAGCTGCAAGGGTATATGACTTGCCGAAGTTCAACTATATACAATGGTTGTAATTTAAGAAAAGGTTGGACGAAATTTGAAGGTGGTCTGTTTTCTTAAAAAGTTAAAATGTTGTTCATTTAATTTTTATTTTTAATTTTAAATAAATATCTGGAATTTGGCATTATGTAGAAGCTATTATAAGCAGTCCATCATTGATTATGATATGTTGATTGACCCATTGGCGGTCTTGCTCTGTCTTTTACTTTTACTTACTTACTTACTTACTTTAGTTTACTTATTTATTTTTTCCGTCCTTGGCGCTTTTGGTATGTGTTGCAGTATAGTCGGTCGATACATTCTACATCTTAGTTGGTGCGCCATAGAAGCGAGATTTCATTTTTTTTCTCAGCATTTTATAAAACAATCAGTCGCGCACACGCTCAGGCAGAGAGTGTATTACTCGTTCTAAATTAATCTTCATTAGGGTCACTTAAGCAATAACAAAATCGTCGGAGGTCGGCTACAGGCCAGCAGGGCAGCCATATGTTGCAAGCTCTTCAACCTACATTAACACAAACTGATGGAGAGAGGCGCAAACTTTGATTGAATTTTCATTACATTTTTCGCTGCGGTTGGGAAGTTCACGCCATAAATTAAAAATACAACTAGAAAATGTCAACTTTTCACTTTTAATTAGTTTGGCAGAGTGCGAAAAATTTAGGTCATGCTTGGCTGGCATAAATCAAAAATTTACTTGCGCAAATATTTGGAGAAATTCAGTGCACCTATGCCGCGTTAACATAGCTTTAGAGCACTGCACTTTGGACGGTTGTTTCATCATGTGGCTTTGTTTTATAACTCAGGTAATTTTTGGTGCAACTAATATTGTTAATATTATTTAAATTAAAGCCTCTAAAAATTATTTAATTTGTTGATTACTATTAGTAAATAGAGAAAATTCTGACGTTCAGAAATTGAGAATTTGAATTCTTAACTTGAGGATATACTCATTTCGAGTACAAATTTTGCCCAAGAACTCACATTAAGAATAAACTGAGGATATGTTCTGAATTTGAGAAAAAATGTTCTAATAATGATGCAAAATGTATTGAAAATCCGTGGTCTAGCAGTCTGAGATATCCGGACCAGGAAGCAGGTTTTGAGGCTCCGAGTTCACTTCGAGATGTGTGATTCTTTTTTTTTGTTTATCTTTGCTTTAATTTTATTTTATTAATGCTTATTATTAATTAATGTTATTTTTTATCATTTCTAAAAAATACCGCAAATAATTTGCTTAAAATACGAATTCGCCTTTTCAAGGAAAATAGCTGTGCGGCCTTTGCTCAATGGCAATTTAGGATGTGCGTGGGCGAGTGGTTAAGGCTTACATCTAGAGCGCGAAAGGTCCCAGGTTCAATTCTCAGTCGAGACATGTGTTTTTCATAAAAATATTTCTTAAGTAAAATGACTTCATTTAACACCTAAATTAATAATATAACATTCAATTATTATTTATTATGTTTATAAAGAATCAATTTAGCTCTACAAGTGGACAACAAAGACCGACGCTCGTGTTCAAATTAAATTTCTATGCAAACAAACAATAAAATTGAAAGAAAATTTTGGTAGATTCTCATTTTGGGAAAAAATACTTGAAAAATTCAAATATATTTGAGTTTTTTTATTCTTGAAAATTTTTACTTAAACTGAGTAAAATGGACTCAAAGAGAGAATTGTTGCTCTTGGATTTTTGTTGTGTATGAATATTTTCAGATTGAGTGCTATGTACTTGATTAATTTTTTCTGTGTAGGCAATTCTATCTTTAAGTCCTTACTATTTATTAATCATATTGCGGCAATACGTTTTTAATTCGTCCTAGTTTTTCTTTTTCAAACAGGGATCAGCAAAACCTATTACTCGAACAGCTATTTACTTTGCATGCCAGGTTTCCCTGTCGAAGACATGTAAATTACGTTGGGGTCTGCTTTTAGATCTTTAAACCTGGCACGAACTAGTCTGCCAACCCAAAACTCCCCTCACCATTGCAGCCCTTACCTTCTTTCTCATACCTGACTTATACTAATAGTACATACTTTTCCTACAGCTTCAAGTTGGTAAGCACATCGGACCATTAAGTTAAATCCTAATCGAGACAACACAAAATGTAAAGCATATCAGAGATAAGCATTGTACAAATTTAAAACGCTATCAGTCCGTACTGTTTTGAACTTTTATCTTATTTTAACATGAACAACATAACAAAGCTTTTTGATTTGCACTTCTTAATGGGCAAGAAAGCTCTCTGGCCTGTTCACTAGCCCTCACCTAACAATCGAACACTAGAAGCTAAGAGAGTGCAGACCCCCGCTAACAGATTTTTCGTTGTGTCTCTCTACTGCAGCGATTAGCGGCAAAGCAGCGGACGAGCAGCGGCAGGGTTGCGACAGTCGGGGGGCAGAGCGTCGGCAGAAAACTTAATGACCCTCTAACTTCGAAAATAATGGCTAAATTTTGAAAGTTTAAGTGTCTATCGATTTGTATGAGCGAAACACATGTCACAGTTCTTTCACGATTTGTGGGCGTTTAAGTGGGCGTGGTTCTGTTTTGAAAAAAACCTACGCTGCGTAGGAATTACTGGGATCTGCATGACAAATCCCAAATCTCTAATTCTTATAATTTTTGCAGATCTCGGACGAATATATATTTTCAACGACTACAAAATGAACGTTTTTACTCTACGAGTTACGGGTATAACAAGAAACTAAAACTATGCAGCTGAGTTTTTTCCTTCTAAAAGTTATATTTTGTGAACCCAATGAAATAATCGAATAATATAATTTAATATATGAAACAAATAAATAAAAATTGGTGTAGATGAGGAATAACGCGTTACAGATTTATGAAAGTAAAAATTATCAAAATAATCAATATTATGAAAAAAATTTGTTCAGCTATCTAAATCATTTAAAAATTTTTTGAATTTGGTTTTATAATTACAATTCTTTGGAAAAGGTATAGTAATAAAAAATTGATGTCATAAATTGAATGGCCATGGCACAGTGTATTGACTATCAGGTTCAACTTATTCTTCCGAGACATTTACGTAAGACATTGCGAATATCAAAACGTAGCTGTCAATATATTTTCAACAAAAAATATAAGCCACATATCATAAAAAACAATAACGAAATAAGATTCCAGGTGAATTTTACAGTGAATAATGTATATGATGCATACATTACATAACAATAATGTATATGTTTTTTGCTCTACGGCGGCACTGTGCGATGGCGATGAGGGGTAATCCTCTACCCCATGTGTGTCTCATACATACTTTTTGCTGTACCGCAAGTGCTTAGCGTTTCGACAGTGGATTGGATTACAAACACAATAAAACAACAATTAGTTTTAGTGCAAAGGCGGAAGAATAAAATCAAGATACCGACAACATTTATATTGCCCTTTAATGATAGATAAAATACGTTGAAGTAGAAGGCTAAGCTATCTCTATCTGGATGAGTGCGGGGGATGTCCAGACTCAGTCAGGAAAGAAGTGCCAGACCTTGTTTACGACTTTAGCTGTTCAAGTTGAGAAAATACAATAAAAAGCTTTGTCAAAAATAAAAACACTCAAGTACTTAATAAATGAACATTTTTGGTTTAATAAATATTTTAAAATATTATTTACACTGGACCTGATTTAGAAAATTCTGTTTTAAGGTGTACATAAAGTTTTTCACCTGTTTACTTGTCTTTTTAATTTTGTATTTTCAGTTCTGCTTGAAATACGAGCTTAAATTTTATAAAAATCGAACTGCTGCTTTGGGAACGACTGGAATAACAACTTGCATGTACATATCTCAAAAAGTAGTCTTTTTATAGCTGCAAAGGTACATATATAACTTTGGTTTGTCGAAGTAAACTTGCTTTCTTGTTCTTTGCTTAATTATAAACTGATTGCCAAATGGCTGTGAACCTTTTTAGATAAACGAAGCTCTTTTTGGCGCTGATTAACAATTTCAACAGATCGATCCCGTATACGTAAGACCCACCACATCCCATCCTCTATCTTTGCTTTATTCCAATAAGGGCGTTTACTTAGCTATGCTCTTCTTTGGTGAGTTCCCTTTTTGCAGCTACAGCTGGATGCCCACGACACTGGCCGAGGTGTGGGGACTAATCGCCGGAAGGAGGATCTCCCCGCGCTCGTCCTTGTAGTCCGCGTAGTCCTTTGAGAGAACACACTCCATGCAGAGGCCGGTCATGAGGCGGAGGGAGAAGAGGTTGGTGCAGGTAGAGGTCACCACGGGGAATCCCCGCTGGCGGCCCAGCTCGATGGTGGCAGCCACCAGGCGGGAGCCCAGCCGCTGGCGTCGAACCGAGCTGTCCACGCCGAGCATGTAGAGGTAGAGGGCCCGGTCCACGCCGAAGTGGGCGAAGATATCTGCCTGCCTCTCGATCCCTGCCAGGAACTTGTGGATCTTGTCCAGCAGGCACTTGACCTCCTTCTGCTCGGCCTCCTGGAACTCCCTCTCCAGATCCCCGGGAACCAGGTCCCCGGCCAGGGCCACGCCCACGATGCGCTCGCCGTCGACGGCCACCAAGGAGAGGTTCTGGTGAATGAGCGAGCGGTGCAGCTCGGCCTCCTCCGGCACCACTTGGCTCTGCGACGCATCCGGCTGGGGGATCAGCATCAGCGGCTCGTGCTTGAAGAAATGCACTGCGAGAAAAGACTCGACCTCGTCAAAGTCTTCCATTTTCATGGCGCGTATGGCGATCGCTGACATCTTCCTTAGTGCCCCACTCGCTGACTGAAACTGAGCGATATTCGGGGCAATTTATTAGTTATATATGCCCCCACTCATGCAGTGAGCTTGCTCGCCTTGTTCTGAGCTTTTCACGAATTTAGGGCTCTCCGCCAGCCCGCTGAGAAGGCACCGCCCATCCACCCTCCACCCTCCACCCTCCATCCTCCCTCCATCCATCCGCCCATCCACCCACTGACCCGACGCACTGTTCTTATCAAAGCTTTTCGAAATATTGTGTGCTTGCTTGCGACCCCGAGGTTTAATGACATTAGTGCTTTTCTGAGCGTGTGAATAATTTCCCCATGCAATTTGGAGATCCGATTGACGCCACCTGATTAAATGGGTTCATTCCCAAGTTAAGTTCAGATCTCGTTAATATCATTAAGTGATATTACCTCAGATACAGATCTAAGAAAGTTGCTGATAAACTGTTTTGTACCTCAACACTATGCCTAGTGTTTCTCTGATCCCGAGTTAATTCGCAATTCTCGTGATACGAGTATAACGGGTAGTTGATGGGTGACTTTTTTTTTGACAGCCCAGAGATGACTACATACGAGCCTCCCAAAAGCCGCAAATAAAAACAATTGCAAGAGTTTGTTTATAATGGCTTGGGGTCGGGAGTGGCCGAATCCACTTTTGAATGGCATGGCGTATAACTCGCCAAGCGACAAGTGGTCGGTGAACCATAATTTAGAACAGGTTTAGGCAGAGCTTTGTTTGCGTTTCGCGTGCCTCCAATGAGACACACGTCAGATGTTACGTTCCCATAGCTCCTCACGCCTTTCCTCAGCCTCCGAAAAGGACAAATTATGAATCGCTGGGCTGTTCGAATACAAAGTGCAGGTCATTAGTGCAGTTTACCTCGTCGTCGGCCGAAAAACTCCCCTTCCATTCAGTTTGTCACACGCACTCACTATATTAACCCTTGGCCGCTGTTCGCAGCTTAGAAACTCAGTCCTCAATTTCGTTGCCCCCGAGTTTGATGCCGTTTACGGCATATGGTTCTCGTTGAGCGCTTTTGAACTTAAAAATACATTTTTTATTTATATTCTTTTACTTCACTCCTCTTTTTGGTATCTTTCGCGGTCTTTATGGGAATTTAATTAGATTTAAAAGCCATAAACAACCCGCGTTTTTGCTCCGGACTCCGGATAAGGCCGCTTTTGCTTAATATTTTGACTCAGCAATTGATTTAAATTATTGGCCTTTAATTTGTTGCGCCATTTTCAAGGTTTTTACTTTCAATGACTTCGAAAGAAAAGCGAATTAAAGTGTACTGATATCGACTTTCGCTGGAGCACATTGTGGGAAGCAAGAGAATTTGTAGCCATTTGGCGGGTTTCAAGTTTAATTTCCTATTTTTATGTTCGTGTTGATGACAACACCCAGAGGGGGTGGATGGGATTTCCCGGATTACGTGACCCGCTTAACGAATTTGTGCGTGTTCGGGCTCACCTAGTCCGCGAATACCCCGCCGTCAATAGCATTTATAGTTATTGCAGTTTTATCTGCTTGACCATTTCGAAAGTCACTTTTGGTCCTCTCGTTCTTATTTAATTAAAAGCAAATGCACTAGAGCGCCTTGGGAGGGGTTAAAGTGTATGCACACTTTAAATTGAACACCAGGTTGGGTTCCCACGATTTCTCCACGGTTTTTCTAGGGCTTATTTAAGCCACCACTTAAAAAACTTAAGTCTTGTTCAAATCTGAGAGATATCAAATAGATTTAAACAACTTTAAAAATAAAAATAAATAATACTAACCAACCATAAAATAAATGTTGCCGCAAAGCAGAGATTCACTTTGCAATAAATTAAGAAACTTTCCTGCACTTAGAAAAAACGACGCTCTAATTCTTGTCTTAAATTTTTTTCCTATTCTGCTCAAATTAAGAAAAAATAATTCTAATTTATCCTTAACAATACTTGATTCAAGTTTAAAATTCTTAAAACAATTAGAAAATTCTTATTTTAAGTATGTTTTTGAATTATATTAAGAATAATTAATTCCAAGAGAATATTTATTCCACTTATGTAGAAAACTTTTTAATATTTATCTTTCGCAGTGCAGGTTTTTAGATAAACTAAGTATAGAAAATTCTTTAGCTCTTACTCAAATGTACATAGGTAACAAATTTAAGACAAACTTGTCTTTAAGCAAGCTAAAATTTTTCTAAGACCGGTCATAAAACGCTTTCATTATTTTTAATAGGGAAGAGCAAAAATCTTAAAACAAGTATGTTAACATACGAATATGAAAAATTCTTAGATTTATTGCGTCATTCGTAGTTTTGTATATACAGGTACTATCATATAAGATATGCATTTACTTACATTATAACGGATTCTTGAAAGCAACGCTTATATGTACATATTTGCATGCACAAATTCTATTTCCGAAATAACTGTTGTCAAACAAAAACACGTTAATGTATGTGTGCTTTTTTTTAAAGCGAATGAGAGGGGTAGAGATGGAAAACATCGAAAGACGGGATTTGATTTTTGTTTGTTTTAATTGTAGCCCGTACAAATACATATAAAATACAAAGATGTTACTTAAACAATAAATGATTTCCATCTACGCTTGGGAGATTATATATATACACAGATAAGAGTTATAATGAGCGCTTTTGCTAACTGTGGAAAAAAGTGTCTATCGGCAATCTATATTATTCTGAATGCTTAGTACATACATATGTATGTATGTACTTATGTAAAAATAATAAGAAAACCAACTAAAAAATACATAAAGCTTAAAAAGAGAGCAAAGCGCAGCTTGTTCTAAGAAAAATTAGTTTTAAACTATTGTACATACATACGTTAATATCCACAAAATTCGTTTAAAACTATATATATATGTACATATGTATGTTTGTATGAAGGACAATTTTTAAAACATCTGCAAATTATTCTTGGCTGCTGGTGCACGTGCACCAATCATGTGCACACATACTAATTTACATATAAATATACGTATACATGTACATATATGAGTGTGCACATTACAAAAATTATTAAATTATATGTATTAACAATTTTAATACTAATTAAAAATTTTTAGATGCTAAAATAAAATATAGTGATTTGAAATATATCGCAACTCAGCAGTATCTAAGGGAAGCTGTACCACCTTTAGGACCCCGCCTAAGGTTTCGCGAGAAGTTGTTGTCGTGGAGAAAGTGACAGGTAAGTTATATCTGCAGCTAAAACTTAAAAAAATAATTTAAAATGCAGTTTGGATCGAACCACGAATCAATGTTATTGCCTACCAATATCTTCGATCTGAAGGACGACCTAATAAAAATAATACTTGAGGAGATTTTCCTTTAAAAAAAGAGAATCTCCATTGCTGATTTTAGTCTCTTGGTTTATAAAATTTGTATTAGCTTTCCTAACGAAAAAATGTGCAAGGTAAATACGCATTAAAAACAAATCGTTTTGTTTTTACCTGTTTTTTTTGTCTATTTATTGATTATTATTTTATTCGCCGAAACGGAAGGGCTTAAGGCTTTACTCTAAATATAAAAATCACCAACCAAAAGACAAAGACTATTCCGTGAAGGATAAAATTCTTCACTAGAAAAATGGAAGAAGACATTCTACTTGCGTCAAAAGGACGCTAAAACTCTGTAAAGTCAAGACTTTTTTAAGAACTGGTCAAAATTTGCTCATGCCAAGGCGGGTGACTTGGTAAGATTTTGCTATAACCTACACTCCCCGTCAACTTATAAGGAACAGACCTAAGAGTAAAATGACTTAATATTTACTGGCTTTTCGTTTATAAAGTAATTTATTGTTTATATATATATGATTAACATTATATCGGAAACCTCTAAAATATTATTAAAAAAAACTGTCCAGCGGGTTTGGAAGAAGCTAATAATCTTATTCAGTTGCGGAAGAGTGTTTAAAGGTTTCATAACTTACAATTTTAAACTACGTTTTACTTATAGATTAACCGGAAAAAAGGTCTTCTATTTTTATACCCTTGCAGAGGGTATTATAATTTCAGTCAGAAGTTTGCAACGCAGTGAAGGAGACGTTTCCGACCCTATAATGTATATATATTCTTGATCAGCATCACTAGTAGAGTCGATGTAGCCATGTCCGTCTGTCCGTCCGTTTATATGCAAACTAGTCTCTCAAAAAAAAAGTTGTCTTTCTATTGCAGGTAGTATATAAGTCGGAAAGAGCCGGATTGGACGACTATAGCATACAGCTCCAATAGGAAGAATCGGAAAAATAAATTTTAAAAAATTATAACTTTGCTGTTTTTTAATTTTTTGTTTAGTTCTTCGACATTTAGTAATGGTTAAATATTTCTGAATTACAATTTAAATTTCATCAAAAGCGGACGTCTATATCATATAGCTCCCATAGAAATAATAAAAATATATAAAATAGCTATCAAATAATTGAGCTGCAAATCATTATAGCTTCAATGTTTTTAAACATATACGCAAGTAAATCATAATTTTAATGTTTTCAAAAATGTTTAATTCTTGCAATAGCTGCAAGGGTATATGAACTTCGGCTTGCCGAACTTTGCTTTCTTTCTTGTTAAAATGTGAAGTCCAGCGGGTTTGGAGGAAGCTAATAATCTTATTCAGTTGCGGAAGAGTGTTTAAAGGTTTCATAACTTACAATTTTAAACTACGTTTTACTTATAGATTAACCGGAAAAAAAGTCTTCTATTTTTAAAATGTGAAGTCTTCAAAGTGATTTTAATTTACTTAAGTGGGATCATATATTTCTTGATTTGAGAGTTAATCGTTCTTTATTTAAGCCGCATGCACTTTTTACCTAAATAATGGTCTTTCTTGATTAAAGAATTTTTAAAACTTGAGTCGAGAATAATTCGTACTTCGTACTACTTAAGTACACGTTATACTGGATTTAAGAAAAAATTTCACGGGATTTAAAAAAAATTAAAACTTCTTTTAAGCAGAATTCAATATTAATTTTAATTATAATAATTATCAACCAAAAATTTCTTAAATAAAGAATTATGGTT